AAAACAGTCTCTAAATTTTTTTAGTGACCTTTGGCCACACTTTTAATAAAAAGTGTCACAGGCTGTTTTTCGGAAAGTGTGACCGTAGGTCACTTTTGTACTAGTGACATCAGAATCAATATCAGAATGGTTGAATGAGACTAGATCTTGGAGCTACAAACAGATGAATTGTAATTTTTTAGAACACAACCCTAGTATACTATATAAAAGTGGGTTCTCTTAGGTCAGTACCGAAGCTCCTTTAAGTTCCAAGAAGCCATGAAGAAGAAGAAGCCAACCGTTAATCAATTTTTTAGGAGTTCCTTTGGGTTATTTAAAGGCTCAATCGTCTCTGTACAAGAATCGATTTCAGAGTTTTCTCCTCCCGCCCAATGCGTTCTCTCTCCAGGATGGTGGTCAATCGTTTTGCTCAAATCGAACGAGAAACATACCTAAAAATCTCCAAATTAATGGCAATAACAGGAAGAATGAACTCCGATGACCTTCAAGATGTAATCAAAACTGAAATCTGATGAACTGGAATTGATTCTAGTCGCCTTTAATACCTAGAAAAATCTATGAAGATGGAGATGATTTAACCCGAATCTAAACCAAACCCAAAAAAATCGACTGAAACAATCTATGGAGATGTATATGCTTTGTCTTGATTCCAGTCACCTTCGTCAATCAGTGAACAGATGAGAAGGTGATAACAAATGAAAATTCCGTTTGAGAGAGAGAGAGAGAGAGAGAGAGAGAGAGAGAGAGAGAGAGAGAGAGAGAGAGAGAGAGAGAGCCATTATACATTAAAATAATTATTTTTTTAGTTTTTTTTAAAATAACAAAAACTCATAAATGGTCCCTGTAATAGTAAAATGACGGAAATGCCCTTCACTTAACGGCCAAAAACTAACGGAGTTAGCGAAAAGGACCATTTGTTAAAAGTTTCGAAACCATAGGGACCATATGTGATGTTTTTAAAGATTAGGGACTAAACTTCAGATTTTCTGAAACCACATGGACCATTTTTGAAGTTTTGTCTTTATTTTATTAATAATATAATATGTATTTTGTTATTTCAATTATTTATTTGTATTAATTTCTTATATGATATTATTTAAAAGCAAATATGAGATGACTTCTTTTTTATTTAGTTTATTAACATTATACACTTATTTTTATATTGTTATCATTTGTATTTCCTTAAACTAATTAGTAATTAAAATAAATTAAAAGTACGCTATCTTTTTTGGTATATTATCTATTATTTTAAGTGGTATAATTATTAATAATTATTGTAAGCTGACCGTTCAAAGAGAGAGAAAAGGAAAAAAGAAGCCTGAAAAAGGTCAAGGAATCCGGCCATACCCAATTACCAATTACCCCCGCCGTTTGTTATTTGTTATCTTCGCGCGTCTCCAAATTTTTTCTTTCCCCTTTTCATCATTTGGTTGTACACTCCGAACATGTGAGCGGAGAATCCCAAATTACTCTCAAAATATGGACTCTCCTCTGCTACAGCGCTACCGTCGCGATCGCCGGAAGCTCCTTAACTTCATAGTCTCTTCAGAGCTGATCACGGATATTCGAAAGTTTCCTGGTTCCGTCATCGATTTCGATGTTATCAGCGCCGATTATGTCCTCGAATGCATAAAATCCGGTGGTAATTTCTTATTTTCTTACCTAGTTGTCATTAAGATTATTTACTATAACGATTATCTTTTAACCCATTGTTTTTTATTGTTTTTTATTTATTTATTTTTATATATTGTTATCATTTGTATTTCCTTAAAATAATTCTCATTAAGATTATGTATTTAACCCATTGTTATTATCGATAAATTTATGGATATTTACCACATTATATTCTAAATAAATGTATCTGACCCGACGTTTTTTATTTTACCGAAAATACCAATGAGTCCGAACAAGACATTTTCGATTTTAAAAAAAAAATAGATAATGTGTACTTTTTTATTTTAGTCAAATATTTTTAAAAAATTATCTTTCATTTTCTAAATAACTATATTAAAATATCTAAAATGATCAAAATTTTAATCAAATATCACATTTAAAGTCATATCTACTCCCCATTTGCTACGTCAATTTAACTATTTTTAGTGAAACCAAATACCTTCTTGAAACTTCAAAATAGTTTTCTCGTTAGAAATTCAGTCTGGGTTGTCCGAAAGTTACTTTTTTCTAGAAAATAAACCTTTTTTATTGAATAAAGTTAGTCTACAAATAGTACAAAATGTTACATGCTATATGTGTTGGTTATTTTTGTAAAATCAAAAAATGGGTTATTTCCTTATAATTCAAATTTTTTAATGGTTAATTTTATGAATATCATTTAAATTTAACACTATTACTTTTAATATAATTATAAGTAGGAGACAGATCCATGTAAATATGGGCTCAAATATATTGATTTCCAAAATATGTTGTTTAATTTAACCTTATAAACAAATTTTTAAAAGTTCATATGCAAAAAATGTTTAAACAAAAATATTGTATTTACTTAGACTTTAACAATAATATTTTATGTACTTATAATAAGACAAAAACATTACATACACATTAAAACATTATATTTTCTTATAAAAATAAACAAAGGCCTCGAGATGCTTCTTTTCTTCTTAATGCAAAAACCTCTTATAGAGACTCTATAAGAACATTATCCGTAAAATTTTGTTCAGAATATATCATGTAGCCGAATTCCTGACTTGAGAAGATGTTACATCTCTAAATGCCTCAAATTATCCCTTTTTTCCCGTTGAATGGATTCAGGAAAAACTTTGTTATTGATTACCAGTCTGTCGTTGAGCTTTCGTTTCTCATTATACTCTTTCAAAAACAAAGCCACCTTGTGTTTGAAGTCTCTCTAGGTTCTTGTCAACTTTGACATGCTGCAATGGGTATCTTGCAAACAGAATATAAGGATGCTATTCTACCTCCTAGGACGTATGGTTATAAAGGGGGAGAGAGCAGTGAA